CTCTGGCCTGTACCCCAGTTCTGTATGAATAAATAAATAAATCTTTAAAAAAAAAAGTTACAACTTGAAAAGTGAGGCATTATTGCCTTTGAAAGAACCTATAGTCAAAGAGAAAAGGGCCAAGTTTTTGTTCCCCTCCCTTTTCATAAGTCAACACTCTTTGTAGGCCTCTTTGCTGAAGTGGGCAAGCCCAGAAACACAGGCTATTCATGCAGTACCTCCATCTCAGCAAGAGTGGCCTCCATGGGCCTCGGTTCATCCATAGAAGCCTCATCATCACATAACCGTCGACAGCAAACCAAGGTGAAGGGGGGTGGCACTTCTTTAAGAAAGGAGACAGCTTCTCGGCGTGATTTCCCATACAGCTGTACACCATTGACCTAGAAAGAAAAGAGATAAGTGAGGATTGAGGAGGCATCCTGTAAAAAAAGAAAAATCTCTTTGCTTATATCAATCTATCAAAATGAAGACAAATACTGTCTATTTTTCCTGTAAACAAAAAACCTAAACTTAGTTGCCATTTTTCTAATAACTAAAAACATTAGAAATCCTTAAAAATTAAGCTTAAGGACTCTCCATGGTGGCTCAATGGGGTAAAGCACCGCATTATGAAGCTCTCTGAAGCCACTGCAGCACAAATTTCATTCCGAGCCAGGGAGCTGACCCACATGGTGCAGCAGGCCTCTTCTGACCTGCCCACTTTCTCCCTTCAGCAGTGTATTTCAGTAGATCTGCCTGTTCTGCTCCCCACTCTGCCTCTGGTGAATCCTCTCACTGCCCCTGCACCTCTGGCCTGTACCCCAGTTCTGTAAGCATAAATAAATACATCTTAAAAAATATATAAGCTTACGCTTTTTCCTTTCTATAACCCACGTTCAGTTTCTCACTTACGTCTACCCGTATCTTCTTAGACTCAGAAAATATCATGCACAGCATCCCTGAAGCCCTTTGCATTTTTTTTTATTTTATTGGACTCTCATTACAACTATTAATACTACTTCTAGGGCTGGTAAAAAGGTTCAACTTAAAATGTATAGGTAATGAAATCTAGAAGGCTTGACTTAAAATTTAGTGTTAATGCAAAATATCCTTTCACATCTCAACAATTCCTCATTAAAGATGAATACCACCACCAAAAAATTATCTAAATGTCTTACTTTTTTAGTACATAACAATACTTTGCAAGGCTGATTTAGAAAAATAATTCTCTTCTAATTTTTTACATCTATGATTTTAGCGCTAGGAGCTCTCTCAGTTCTAAAAAGTCACTAAAAAGCTGATTGGTCTGCTAGTTCCAAGACACAAGCATGAATACAATCATCCAGGCAACAAATAACATTTTTACATCTAGCTTCCTGGGAGGGTTCAACAGTATTATTAGTTTTAAAGGTATTTTCTGGCATGGCATTAATTTCTGACAGGTACAGTGCTAGTGTCCGGATAACTGGCAGCGCTGACTCTTTCTGGGAGGAACCAAGCCACGAAATCTGTCACTGTTCAGAGAATCCGAGCACACAGTGGACTGCTGGAAGCATCTCATCAACAGCGATCTGAGTCCCTACTCTACTTTCCCTTGGAACCACTCTCACATCTGTAACATACCAAGCACTCGGCCATCAGGCTAGACACAATCTCCCTGTCTCTTAATTATTTAAAACAAATCATCATATGATCAAGAGACCCCCACATGTGTCAGGGAGCTAGCCCTATTGGAAAAGTGAGTATCATCTCCCAAGACTTTTATGAGATGAAAGGGGTATAGGAGACAGCAAGTTCAGCAGCAGATGAAAGGTCATTCCTTGAAAAAACTGCAAGTCAGTCTTCACATAAAAACAGGCAGGGAGGTATTCATCCCTGGTTATGCCAGGTCCACAGGGCTAACTGCTGTCACAAATGCAGAAAGTTCTAAAATCATCCAAATGAGAAGTTCACTATACTGCAAATAAATCAAGCAGATATCACTGAAGCAAAGAATTCTACCCATTTACAAATATTAGTTTGTGCTTCACATTACTTCAACAAATTAGAAAATCACTTCTCAGGTTTTTATCTTGGAGTACATTTAAATATTTATTTAGCTCATTATTTATTAATTTGAATTGTCTCCAATTATTATAGCAGTGCCTGGTAGTCCTCCTCACTACTCTCTATTGCAAAAGGGATTGGTCACATTTCCCATTACCAACTCCTATCTACGGGGATTTATGGCTGCTGTAAATAGCTGCTCTGGGCTGAGACTTGGCACAGTGTTCTAACCCCAAAGCATATTTGTTTCTGGTTTTAAGCTCTAAGGAGTACATTAAACACATACACACACACATCCCTTCATTTTCCCCACCCCACCCTTTAAGTTCAGGAGTTTATTTGGCTAACTTTATAGGGATATTTTTTTCTATATTTGATTACTCAGAAGAAGCCAATTTTTATTTTAGAGTTCATAATATTTCCCTAGGCCCTTCAACTTGAGACCCTCTTAAGTGCTGTCAAGTCTCAATTATTCAGACTTTGTGATTAGAAAACACACACACATGTACACATTTGCAGAGTACATAATATCATGTAAGTATTGTCCCACTACATTACCTCATTCAATCTTCACTCCTCCAATCCCATAAAGATTGTTTATGCCATTTTCACAGGGGTAATATTGCCAATGTCTCACAGTGAGATAATGCTTTGTAGTTTACATGGGTGATATTCCATTAGAACCTCACTAATGCATAGTGAAATGGGCATTTATTGAGGAAGAAACTGATTCTCCAAAAAGTTAAGTGACATGCCACAGCATGCATGGCTGGACTGTGGCAAATTTAGAAACAAAATCAGTTCACTTGACATCACAAGTTTATTCACCAAGAATCTATACAATGAATTTAGCAAGTTTTCTTGCTCACTTATTCCACTACATTCTATTACCAGATGGGAGGTCCATGAGGTCCAATCTTGGCTGAGGCACAGAGGACGCAGTTGATAGATCACCTGTACTTGTTCTATTGTGTTATCTTAAATCTTACTCTTGTGAGAAATCTCTTCTATATAGTTCTCTTAAGTCTTACCATTTCCCACAACTTTAAGACATTGGAAAATAGTGTGACATAGTTTTTAAAAACAGTAAAACAGGAGGTAGAAAACTAGCAAAATTATCCCACCACTGTATAAATTAGGGGAGGTCAGTATCTCCCTTTCTTATCTGTAGAAGTAGACTGTTCAATGTGTTATATGTTTTTAGCTACAGAACATTCCAGTCTAACTTTCAGCAAAGTTGTATCAAGCAGATGGCTTCCAGAATGACTCTGGCTAAAGAAAGGTTGGGGTCCTGAGAATGAAGTCACTAGATACTGCCATTTTGTGGTTAGGGAGTCCCAAGGAGACAATATGAAAACCAGTCAATGACACATAAGCCTGAGGCCGCACAGCTCCAATTCTTACTAGTAATCAACAAAACCTATAAATAAATGTGACCCCATGTTACAAAGAAAGATTGGAGAATAAAGCCTTAGAGAGAAACTTTGCTTAAAAATAAAACAAAAATACTAATTATCTTATCAAACTAAAATCGATATTAGTTTCTTAGCATTTTCCAGCCTTGTAAAATTTTTTTCAGTTTGAGATAAAATAGACCTATAATTGGTAAATTTTAGGTGTACAATGTGGTTTATACAACTTGATTTACAATCATACTGTATCTTACCATAGTAAGATTTGTTAACATACCACACCTCACACTATTAGTGTGTGTGTATGTTTGTGTGATGAGAAGATTTAAGATTTCCTTTCTTAGCTATTTCCATGAGTAAAAATACAGCAGTGTAACTATAGTCATCAAATATTTTTCAGTCTAAGAACTCACTTTGGCAGTAGTGATACTGTAACTCAGTGGAACTCTGGCAAGAACAGATTTTCTTAGAACTTAAGCACTTCTGCCCTGGATCTTTACTCATAAATTTTACCTCAAGCAGCTCATCTTCTGGTTGTAGGAGGTTCAATGTATCAACAGGACCACCTGGTACAACTGAAGAGATATAATGGTGCCCATCAAAGGAATCCAATTCCATGCCAAGTCTCAGAGTGTGAATGGGCAGCAGCTGTAACAAAATACAGAGCTGTAATATCAAACCAAAGGACACATCTACTTTATTCCATGATCAAGTACCAGGTTGACATGAAAGCCCAACTTCTTGAATCAGACCACAAAAATCCCAAGAAGACAATAAAGGAAAATCAATCATATGTAAAACATGGAGTCATGGGCCCTCCCTGGTGGCGAGACAGGTCAAAGTGCAGCACTGGGAAGCTATCCACAGCCACTGCAGAACAAACTCGGTCCCTGGCTAAGGAGATGACCCACATGGCACAGCAGACCTCTCCTGACCAGCCCCGCTGCTCCCCTCAGCAGTGTATATCAGTAGATCTGCCTGTTCTGCTCCCCACTGTCTCTTGTGAATCCTCTTATTGCCCAAACCTCTGGCCTGTACCCCAGTTCTGTATGCATAAATAAATAAATCTTAAAAAAAAAAGAGAGTCACTGGTATAAAAAAAAGAGAGTCACTGGTATTCTTGTTCTCACTTCTATTTTCCTTTCAGATTCCCAAGGAATAGAGAGACAGACACACAAAGTCTTACTTCATTTCTAAGCCAACAGGAGCATCAAACTTCTTACAGTTCCACATTTATACTGTTTCACTTTTGGCAGGGTTTTACATGCCTTAGAACATCTCTGCTACTCTTTATTACCCAGTTGGCTTCCATTCACACTTCAACAACAAGACAGAGTCAACCAGGAAGCGCTTCCTGATATCTGGGTTAATATGCCTCTACCTGGGGCAAAGACTACAGATGCACATCTCTATCACAGCTTACAGCACAATGAGATTTCAATTCTTATTATTTTGATCGTTTCCCTTTCCCCTAGTTGAGATCACAGTCTGTATATTTTCTCTCCATAACCTCAGGTACTAGAACTGGCTCAGGAACTACACATCTTCTCATTTAGTATTATTTGAACTAACCCATGAATAACTTAATCAAAGTGTCCTTTTCCAACTCACAACTTAACAATTGGAATAATTTCCAATGGGGGGAAGGGATGGGTGTGTAATAAGGGAGGGTACAATTATTTTACTCCAGGACTGATATCGTTGGCTTCAAAGAATCCATATATGCTAAGAGCCAAGGGTTAGAGAATTCCGCCAATGTCCAAGGAAAGAGAGAAGCATTTTATTGCTACTGACTGCAAAGGTGAAAGCTTTCACCAAACTCCATTCCCTTGACTTTCAAAGATGGAGTGACTGATTTCTTACTGTGGCTGAATAAATTCAAATGTGATCAATGGTACTAATTATGATTTACATTTCCTATGCCAATAGTCCTTTATCTAAAAACAAACAAAAAACAACAACAACAACAACAAAAAAAAAAAAAAAAAAAACCAAGCCCATCTCTAAATATACTCGACACAAAGAAAACCACATACAGAGTGCAGAGGTGGCCACAGGACTCCCCCTCGTTTTCCTATTGTCCCTGATCCCCTATCTCTGACCTGTCACCTGGTCTAGTTGGCTCAGAGTCCCTAGAGCTCCAGAGGGCTCTGTGTTTCACAGACAAATGTGAAATGGTAAGCAGTACAGGTAAGTACAGGTGACTTAGAATAGGCATGAGGGATGTCTGGTCCTGAGCTAATTTTCTGAAAATGAAGTCCTCCTACAACTATCTCTGGCAATAACATATTCTAAGATTCTAAAGGGAGGTTAAGATTGTTTTTACGCTTGCTCCTGTTCAGTGATTTCTTTCTCACTGCTGCCACCTTGTTTTCTTAGCTACTTATCAGACCAAACAATGTTTATCAAGCTAGAAGGAAACTTTCATGTTATTTTCCTACATAGTAAGAGATGAATAAAAACTCTCACAGTATTACTTCTGTAATAAGTTTGCTCATCCATCTCTCTGCCAACCCCCTTCCTTTCTTTGTCTGAATCAAACGCTGGGGGAGAATGGTCAGTATGTCCACTCAAAGGTCATTTCCAAGTGGTGCTAACACCTGCTTGCAAGAGTAGGTGATTCAAGTCTCAGAAATGTTGTAAGCCACTTATTAGAAATAGCCATTTCTTTAATTTAATTTACAGTTACATTAAAATTTTTATAATTGCAGTAGGTACTCAAAATCCATCACTTTCTAATATTTAAAAAAAAGATTTATTTATGCATACAGAACTGGGGTACAGGCCAGAGGTGTAGGGGCGACAAGAGGATTCACCAGAGACAGAGTGGGGAGCAGAACAGGCCGACTGATGAAGTACACTGCTGAGGGGAGCAGCGGGAGGATCAGCAGAGTCTGCCGTGCCATGTGGATCACCTCCAGGGCAGGGATCAAACTCATGCTGAAGTGGCTTTAGCTTCTTAGTGCTGTGCTTTAACCCGCTACGCCACCAAGGAGGGCCCCACTTCCTAACTTTTTAACCACATTTCATTTTATGTTGTTGAAGTGACTTCTGTTACTAGCTTATAAAAATCCTACTAAAAACTCACAGAATATCGAAGATGTGAACAACTGAATGAGGCAGATGAAATATTCAATTTGTTTGGTGGCCAAATTCTGCTGGATCAAGTCTCCTCCCACAGAGAAGCCTAAAGCAAGTACCATTGTGAATGACCTCACAACTCTGGTGATATCATCTGTTAGCGTGAAATCTGCCATGCTGGGAGTATGTCTACCACAGACATCTATAAATGCTTTTTTGTGGGTTTTTTGTTTTTTTTT